GCTCCGCCTCCTGGGTTCACACCATTCTCCTGCCTCAGCCTCCCGAGTAGCTGGGACTACAGGCGCCCACCACCACGCCCGGTTAATTTTCTGTATTTTTGGTAGAGACGGGATTTCACCATGTTAGTCAGGATGGTCTCGATCTCCTGACCTCGTGATCCACCCGCCTCGGCCTCCCAAAGTGCTGGGATTACAGGTGTGAGCCACCACGCCCGGCCAAATCTGGGCATTTTTATGAAGGAAGAAAAAAATAGAGGTTAGAAAAGCAAGGAAATGCAAACAGGATGCCTACCCCACCATCTTCTGGGACAGGATTATTAAGAAAATGAGAGGGACCACAGGTACCATTTCAGAGACTTAAAGGGGAAGAGGAATGGAACGCTCAGAGAATACAATGTGTTTAGCACATAAGGAATTTTGCCCATGGCATTCTCCAAGGCTTATTGCTGTCTTTTCTTTTTTCCACAATGCTTCATTTTCATCTTTCTTAAAACAAACATGATTGTAATGCTTTTCTTCTTTACATTGATAAATAGGTCAATCTAACCTTAAGCTAGAAGAGGAATGTGCTCTAGGTTCCCTACAAAGTTCTCTCTTGCTCTCTCCTGCCTGTCCCCCATCAACACTCTTCACTTCTATAGTCCATTTTCAGTGGTCATATAAGTGAGCCTGGACTTAGTAACTACATGGTCCCAGTTTTGTTTGTATCCAACTTTCTCATTTATAGGATACAGTAGTTCAAGTCAGAGGTTTTTTTTTTTTAACCTGGGAAACTACAACCACTTGAGGAATTAAGCAGAAAAGAAACATTCTTCATAATGTGAGAATCCTCTAGGTATTTCAGGACACTTAGGATAAGTGACCTTGCCCATTAATTTCTAGCTGTATCCTCCAGTCCTTGATACAACCAAAAGTATGGCCACATACTTTCCAAACACCTCATATTCTAGGGTTGATAGATATAATACGGGTTACCCAGTTAAATTTGAGTTTTCCATAAACCATAAAGTTTTTAGTAAAAGTATGTCCAAAATATTGTATGGGCACCCTCTGTTTTTATTACTCTAGTTGGTAACCCTACATATGGGGAACCCTCCTGCATACACCATAGACTATGTGAAAATGACCCCTTAGAGTTGTGCAATGTCCAACCTACACTAGTAAATGTGGCAACACTGTTTGGAAGTCAATACCGTGGAGAACACTGGTGTAGGTTATTAATGAGAGCAACTGTAGCACTGATATTTCTATTAATCTTCAGACTATCTATTGGTAGTGCAATATGCTAAAAAGCTGTGGGATGCATACATATAAGCAAAATCAAGTCTGAGAAAATTTAAAAGTTGATCATTTTGAGATCTGGTAATATTACTTTTTGTACCTTCTTTATCTCTTTTATTGATTTATCCCTCTCTTGACTCTGGATCTTGTTTGTTTATTCCCAGGAGAGAAAATAACCTTGTTGCAATAAGAAGTTAGTATTTAGTCAACCACACCCAGAATTATAAATGAGGACTTGAAGGATATGACAGTACAAACACAAGGGAATAATTAGCTAGTAGTGACATTTCAGACACTAATTGGAAAGACTTCTTGCCTACTATTGAAGTTTAATAACCATTGGATGATGAGGTCAAAATGTCACCAAAGAAGAGTAATTGACTAGTTGTCAAAAGGCCAAAGAGGGTCAAATTTCCTTAAACAGATTCTGCAATCTGAGGTTTGATTTTATGCTTTCAAAATAAAAAATCTTGACTCGGTCATCTCCTTGAATATGAGTCCATTTCTTAAAAGTAGACTTCTATTAAACAAGTTCACAAGAGATCAATTCACAGATGAAAACTGGCAACTGACTAATTTACAATGATACATAGAAGAAAATTGGTGACTAATTTACAATGATGCATAAACTGCTATGCAGATAAGAATATCTGCATTTGAAACTGATGTATTCTACATTTGAAGACAGACATCAGTTTGTTTCTGTTAACTAGTATTTATTGAAATAAACTGTTTTATTGGAGAGAAGCATAAGTGAATAAGTCACAGTCTGCACTTGTATTTTACTAAGATTAACAAGAGTAGAGAAAAGAGAACATGACAAACCCTGGGCAAATGGGTGGATAGGGGCAGAAAAGAAAGAGAAAGGAGAATGTAGGAAGACAAAGAGGTGACAGACCATGACACATTTGAGAAAGTAAACATAATTCAGCAAAGGTAAGCTTGAAGCACCAGATGAGAAAGGGTGAGAGAAGAACATAGGGAAACAAGCAAGATCCCACTCAAGACCAGTCTTACAAACTTTGTTCAGCAGTTGGTCTGTTTCTTAAGAGTAATGCAGAATCACTACACGTTTTAAGCAGTTAATGATTAGATTTTCATTTCGAAAGATCTGTTGAGCAATTGTGTAGAGAATGTATTGGATTAAAGGGTAGCAAGATCAGTAGTAAGGACCCAAGACAAGCATCAAGGCTATAACATAGATGAGAATTGATGGTGTTGGAACTAGATGATATTAGTATACCTGGAAGGAGAAGATGGATAGGTGAGATATTTAGCAGGTACAAACCACAGAGTTTAGCAATTAATTTCAGGTATGGCATGAAGAGAACAGAGAATCCAAGAAGGTACACTCTATTTTGAGCATGGACATAAGAGAAGAAGCAAACTGAGATGAAGGAAAGGAAAAAGTATTTAGTGGCATACTTTTGTGGTTTGATTTGTCCTCAGAAGAGTCAAGTGAACCAATAAAAAGGTATTTTGAGATAGAGGGCTTAGGTTTAGGAGACAGATCTGGAATAAATGTTTAGATTTATGCATCGTTATAGATGTCACCAAAGATCACAGTATCACCCAGAAAGGATACATTAGAGTAATAAAAGAGATGAGCCTAGAAGTTAGAAACACTTAAATCATAAGCAAAAGGAAAAAGAGTCCACAAAAAAGTCTCAGAAGTGATGGCAAGACTAAGGGAAGACAGTCACTTGGGAGAACACGTAATATAAAAGCAAAGAAAAGACAGAATTCACTAAAAATGGAATAGCTAGATCGTGACAAAGGAAATTCCCACTGGTTTTGAAATATATATATGTATTTTTTTTAAGAGAGGGGTTGTGAGAGAAGATAATTAGAGCATTTTTCAGAGGACATTTAGTGGCAGAAACCTGAATGTAGTTGATCGTAAAGTGAGTAGAAATTGAAGAAGTAGAACCAGTGTGAGCACAGACAATTCTTCCCATAGGTTTATTTGCATCAGGGAAGAGAAAAATAACACACAATTTGCAAGGGGCATTAATGACAAAATTCGATTTATGTGTGAGTATACTTTGGGTGGTTTGACTCACCTGTTTGTTAGTTTTTAAAATGGACAGAATTGACCATATTTTATGTTAATGAGGAAAAAGGGAAGAAGGGTGAAATGGCTAAAATATAGATGGAAATCTTCTACAAGGTTCCTGATGAGGAACTAATAGAATCCAAGACGCAGATAAAGGGCTCAGCATTAGATGGTTTGCCAGGACTGCCATAACAAACTACTAAAAATTGTATGGCTTAAACAACAGGATATTATTGCTTCACAGTTCTGGAAGCTAAAAGTCTGAAATAAAGATATCTGCAGGGTTGGTTCCTTCTGATGGCTATGAGGAAAGAATCTATTCCAGGTCTCTTTCCTTGGCTTGTAGATGGTCGTCTTCTTCCTATGTCTCTTCACCTTGTCTTCCTTCTATGAGTGTGCCCAAATTTCCTCTTTTTATAAAGACACCAGTCAATTGGATTAGGGGCCCACTCTACTCCAGTATTACCCCATCCTAACTTAACTCATTACATCAGCAATGACCTTATTTCCAAATAAGATCATGTCCTGGAGTACCAGGGATGAGAACTTTAAGATATGAATTTGGGAGGGGGAAATAATTTAACTATAACAGATGGAAAGACATATTTTTTTTCCATTGTAAGAGGATGGAAAGCTGTGTGTCTGTAGATTTTATGGCAGGAAGTATAGGAATTTCCATCTGCCTTTTATTTTCTTTGAACTAGAGATAGTCGTTAGCGGAGAAGGAGTCAGAGTTGGAAGTTAAAGTCTCCTGGGGAAGAGTAGAAACAGCCATTGAACAGTGAGAGAAGAGAACAGGGAGGCTGTAAGGCAGCTTTGACAGCTACTATGGTATCAGCCTATGAAAGGTAGTTCAAGGAAATAATCAATTATTCTTTGGTGCCCTTTAGATAATAATATAAGATCTCATGGAGAGGGCTACTTTTGGCCATATAGTAGCTTACAACAAAATGTGTGCCAGTTTTACTAAGGAAAAGCTGTTCCCAGACTTCCCAGTTAGCCATTCATTTGGAGATCAGGTTAAATGCCAATTTGTTTGTGATTATCCCTATTTAAAAGAGAAACATGCTTCTCTGTACATAGTAAAATTATATATAACTAGAATTTTTATTAAAGTAATAATCTGTTTTCTCCACTTAATTGTGTTCTAAAGAGAGAGCACACCTTATGCATCTGTCTTGAAATATCCCCTGACATTCCTTAGTGCTCTGAGTGTAGTCAGTACTCAGCGAGTATTCCTAGAATTGAACCTTGAGTAGTAATTGTTACTCACTAAGTGAGCATCTGTGTCCCACTCAGAGTAATTTTTCTCAGAAAGGCCATCCAAGGATACACTTTGTTTTCAAAAATTGAGATGTGAAATGCATGCATATTTGTAAAATTCAAGAATGTGGACATTTATGATGAGGTCCAAGAACAGAGCACACTTGACCCTCTTGAAGAAATAGAAAGTAATCTGACCTCCAATCACACAAAAGTTTAGTTTAACTTAACGGTAAAATGATAGCATTGACCTAATAAACCTTTCTAATATACTTTCTATTTGTGGAATCTACAACAGGTATCTATTTTAAAATGACATACATGGCAATTGTATGTAATAATGGATAGGAGTAACAAATATAAGAAATGAAGAAATATTATGTTTCGTTTTGTTTTTCAGAGTGATTGTGTACTTAGCTTTTTCCTCTCTGAGGCTGTGCAACAAACAGCTGAAGAATCATCACTTATGTACCTAGGTAAGTAACTTTGTCATTATATTATGTGCAGTGATTTTCAATATAATTGGACAAAAAGATATCACAACTATTTTTTTTCAATTTTTCAATTAAAATCTCTTTTTAAGAATAAGTCTTTAATACTCTTTTGTAACCATTTCCATAGCATAAACTTGAATAATCCAGATTTTGAAAAAATAAAATATGAGGTTGTAGAATTCTCATAAAAAATTGTAGAATTCTAGAGGTGTGGGGCTTTGATGAAAGGTTGACTCTATTCTGTCACTAAAGTCTCTCAAGAAAATTGTTTCTCTGTGTTTCAAGAAATTATACTGCAGACTACTGTCAAATCTTTTTTATTTTGATTATATTATTTCTTTGAAAGGTATTTTGAAATACATTTGCACACATTAAAAATTTAGCATTATTAGTGCAAAAACTAAAATGGTTGAGAACTTTTTTTTAATTTCTTACATCATAGAATATTCAAGATTTGTTTCAGCGGTGATGAGTGACAAAAGATTTGATTCTCAATACATTTAGATTATAGGCTACATATTAAATACAATGTATTATCTTAAAACAACAGAACTCATATTTCCTAGCACAATATGCAAACTATTACAACAAGCAAGGATTAGCAGGAAGTTATTCCTTCTTGTGCTAATCAAATTATTTTCTTTTTCACGTTTTTGAATTCTTAATTCTTTTGTCACAGAACATTAGCTGGTTCTAAGCAAGAAGCACAATACTTATTTTAAGCACTATTCCTGTCTGTTGAAAATAAGTGTATGTTGTTAAATGATTACATGGTGAAATCATTCGAGTATATTAAAATGTTGGTTTACCTAGGAAAACATTAAGCAAAAAACTCAGATTTCACCATTTTACTACCTCTGCCAGTTAATTAAGAGGGCGGATTCCAGATACCTATGTATCTAGGCACATGACTTATAAAAATAATAGCGATATTTAACTCTAAATCTGGGAGATAATAATACTCTTTGCCTTTACTCACTAACTAAACATGCCTTGGGAGAACAATTGAGGAATTTAAGGAATTTATCTTGTTCAAATGCCAATTCAATCATCTCTCTTCTCTACTTAAAACTTCTCTTTGGCTTCTGATTGCGCTTAGGCAAGGCCAGCTGTATCCACTTGTGACCTGCACGGTCACACAGGGCAGGGTGCTGAAAAAGTTCTTGCACTTGGTTTAATACTCTGCTGCCATTGTCTTGAAATTCTTAATAAGTTTTGAAAAACCATTCCCACATTTTTATTTTGCACTGGGCCCCACCAATTATATAGCTGGTCTTGGCCTTTGGATAAACATCAAAACTCTCATCATGGCATTCCAGCAGAATATGGTCTTTGCTATACACTCCTAGAATGTTACGTCTTCAAAACACTTATTGCAGTGATAATTCTCGCTTGTGTGTTTATTTGTAGACCAGAAATCCACTGGGGATAATCCATGTCCATATGGTTCGCCATTGTATCCCTGGGGTCATGTACAGTGTCTGGGCTACTATAGTTGTTCAATAAATAATTACTGAATAAATGATTGATGACGAAAAGAACAATTATGGAGGACACCTTGATATTCTCTATCAAGGTAGCGTGACATTTGTAAAATAATTTTCGATTTTGGTTTTTCCTCTCTTGTCCTTATCAAAATGATGCTATTCCTCCCAAACTGATTACTTCATGTGTAAATGTCCTGGCACAAGAAATTCAAGGCCTCCCAACCACTAAAATTATCTTAACATTATCACTTGGAATAAAAAAATTTACAAATTATTACACTAAATATTATGGATACCAGACTCAACAAAGCAGTAACCACAAAAGTTGCTGGATTTTATTTTAAGTGTGACATGATCCTATATATTCTCCCAAAATTAATATAGCCCACATACCAAATAATACCTCCACAAAAAATAAAATAAAATTATCTACTCACATCTACTACATAGCTTTGACACACAGAAGATAGATATTTGTCAAGGTATGGAAATAATAACATAGGTAATGGAGTAGAACATGATCAAACCCAGCAATTGTCAGGGTTAAGAGGATGAGTTAATGAGCATGATTAAGCACCATTAATAATTACAAATGATTGCAAACAGAAGCTTTCAATCATTACCTCATATCACTACCTCCCATTTGAGATGTTAATTTAAAAGAGAATTTGAGGCCATGCCGTCTACATGGCAGGGTCTCACTAGTTAATGGTCTAGCTACTTGCTCTGGCAGAGCCCAGATCAATTATCCGTGGGTTGAAGTATGGTACTCAGGTTTTCAATTAAAATGTTAATGATGTGAAAGGCCAAGCAGTGTAAGAATAGAACTATTTAAAAATAAATACTTGTATTAAGTTGTTTCTGAAACATTCAGTTGAAAGCTTTGAAATAGTAGCCATTTTGCTATGTTGTATGACCTCATGTTTTTAATTAGAAAAATATTTTAGACTTTTGCATGTCTCTGATCTGGGAAGGAAAAGATTAAAAAATGATGAGTTAGGGGCTTTCTCTAATTACCTCATCTCTAACATCTGGGCGTGAAGGATATAACTAAAATCTAAGAAATCAAGCAATAGAAAAATCTATATCTGTGTTAGGGAAACACCAAAAAAACAAGCAAAATCACAACATCGAATATAATTGGGTGATAGATGAAACAGAGTGAGAAAGATTGTGCACACTAATTTCACCTTTATCTTTACTCACTTAGGAAACAAGTATTGTCAAAAGAAATAAAAAGTCTAATGCTATTAAATAAAGGCAACTGCTAAAACAAAAGTAGCAACTTTCTTAGGTATCATAAATACGTGAAAATAAAAGCAAATTACTTAGCAAAAGACTTCCTTTAAAAATCATAAAAATAAATATAAAGCATTAAGACAAACCTAAGAGAAAACTAATCCATTATATTAATAAGTAAAAATGGGCTTAACTCATCTATTAAGGAAGTTCTTTTTCAAACTGGAATAAAAATGCAAATTGTAACTCTCTGTGAAAACACACCTAAAACAAAGTTTCAACCTAAAAGGTTGAAAATTAAAATATAGCCATGGGTATATTAGGCAAAGCAGAGAAAATTCAATCAGAGGTCACAATCTCGATGAAGAAAAGGAGGAATTTAGGCTAAAAAGCATTGAATTAAATAAGAGATAGAATTTTATAATGAGTACAATTCTCAATAAAGATAGGCACAGTTATGACTACATAGCAAATGATATGACAGCCACATATATAAAACAGAAATTATTGAACATACAAGAAGAAACACACAAAAACACACTAGTAGTAGGATACTCTAATTCATATCTTGATTTATGAAAGCCCAAATGGAAAAAACTAAGATTTATAGAAAAATAAAGTAGTTAATAAGTCAAATTTTTTATCCTGAAAAAAATGTATCTTCTCTTCAAATGCCTATGAAAGTTTATAAAATAGATGATATATTTGACTACAGAAAAGCTCAATAAAGTCCAAAAAGTAAAAATAACGTAGTTGAAATTCTTTAATCGTTTTATCACTTTAACGAAGTGAAAATGTAATGGAAATTTTCAGAAAACTAGAAGACAGTTAGGTTTAGGAATTTAAAAAAAATCTTTTGAACAACTGGTGGATCAAAAGGATTACAAAAAAATTTTGCTAAATTTCTAAAGACTAGCGATAGGGAAATACTACATCTCAGAAACCATGAAAGATAAAACTATGCTCAGAGGAAAATTGGAATAAGAGTTACCAACCAAACGAAACAAACGAAAAAAGGATAAAGATAAAAGTAGATTTCAATTAGTTAGAACAAAGAAAACAGTGGAACAAATTAGAAGTAAAAAGTAAACAATAAAATAAATAAGTCACTATCTAACCTAATAAAAAATGGGGAGTAATACAAGTACACAAATATTAAAACAAAAGGAAATGCAAGAATTAACCATAGAAAGATGAAATTAAACAATAGTAACAGACTACCCGTTCAATTCCAGAAAATAAATTTGTAAATCTGTCTGAAATTGATAATTTTCTAGGAAAACAAAATTTACTTGGCCCAGAGAAGATGATTCTAACAAGATTAAGTTTGATCAAATAAATACAATATAATGCTTCACAATGCAAGCAAAACTTTTACATTTTTAAAAAAGTACCAAGTTCAGATGATATCCAGAGGAATTCTACCAAACTCTTTAAAAGCAGACAATTTCACTGTTACTTAAACACTTCCAGAGCAGAGAAAAAGAAAGAAAATTTTCCATATTACTTTTATGATACACAAAAAGTATTTATACCAGTAGCTTCTAGGATTACAAGGGTGGCAAATAAGAGATCACAGACCAATCTCACTTATGAATATCAATGAAAAATTCTAAATACAGTATTAGCCAAAATAATCCATCAGCACACTTAAGGAATATAATTCACCATGACAGAAATGCAAGAACAGTTCAATATTAGTACTATACATAATATATAATACATATTATCATATCGATGTATTTAAGGATAAAAATCACATGGTCACCTCTATAGACTCTGAAAAGGCATTTGATAAAATTGAATGAACTTTCTTAATAAAACAACCAATAAAATAAAAATTTAAAAAAATAAAATCCTGTCATTTGTGGTAACTTGGATGGAACTAGAGGACATTATGTTAAGTGAAATAAGCCAGGAACAGAAAGTTAAACACCACATATTTTCACTCATATGTGGAAGCTTAAAAACATTGATCTCAAAGGAGTAAAAAGTAGAACAGAGGATACTAGAGGATGAGAAGGGTGGGGGTAAAGGAGAGGTGGAGAGAGTTTTTTTTAAAGAATACAAAATTACAGCTAGATAGGCGGAATAAGATCTAGTGTTCTATACCACGTAGGATGTAGGGTGACTATAGTTAACGATAATGTTAATGATGAATCTGTAAATTACTTTGGGCAGTATGGCCATTTTAATGATATTCATATACCGAGTCTGTGGGCATGGAATTTTTTTTCATTCAAATTACCGATGTCA